CACTGAAACAGTAGGTCACCTCCATTGGAGCAGATTTTTTTAAGCATGTCATGCAGGCTCTCGTTCATCACTAGCAAGAAGGCGTAGCTAATGGTAGTGACTAGGTTGAAAAATAGTGTTTGGTACCTGAGTTTGCTCTACCAAACAGTGTTATGGTGCTCTTTATGGCTATTCCAGTTTCCATGGAAATAAATAGGAGGCATTGCTTTTGGAATGACCAATGTACTACAGAGGCATCACCTTATACAAGAACTAATCCTGATCTAAATGAATTAAACAAGAACAACTGTTATCTTCTACGTTGGAATAGATTTCAAAGAAAAATTAAGCATTTTTTTAACTTCTTTCTGAAGAACGCTCTCCCAAGAAGGCAGTTAACATCTGATAACCAGTTAAGACTTCTGAAGAGGTGAATTGCTTTAGATCTTTTTAGAGACTTCATGATTTTGATTAAGAGCCATAGGGGAAAAAAAAAAAAAAGAAAAAAAAAAAAACAACCAAAAAACCTGAACATAAAAGGTGTCTAAGATTTTATTTTGACTCAAGAATGAATTCGTGGCTTCTCCCTCAGAAGGCTTTGATGTGAAAATGGCTGTCTAGCAGTAGAAAAAAAAAAACCCAGAGGCTAAGGAGGAACATCTTAGGTGGCCCTTTTCCTTTCCAAAATAATCTCTAACATTCAGAACAAATTATGTGCCATTACATAGCTAGATCATAGGCTGTGACTAAGCAAGTATTGATTACCTTTAACTAGAACCAGAATCAGCAGTACATACATCACATCTAGAGCAAACACAACTGGGTTACGTCACGCTCAGTGATGTGGCAAATAAACTAAGACCTCACCACATGAAAATGATTGCTGCCACACCCACTGATAAGGGAAAAGCTCATTTACAACTGATTGAGTTTATCAAACTTCAGACACTTCATGAGAATGAAGAAACCAATCAGCAGATGACATTTAGTACTGCTCCAATATTCCAGCTGCTTTGACATTGAATTTAAGACGCACCCCTTGATTAGCTTTGCCATAATGCATCAGCGTAGCATATTTCTTCAAACTATTTTTTTCCTGTTTTCCTTCAGTCACCCTTTCTCTAAATATAAGAACTTTCACAACTGTTGAAAGATCGAGATGTCCTAGAACAGCCACGCAATAAAAATCATAATGTTGAAAAAAGTAACAACACTGAGATTTAAAAATAAGGTTACAATTTACATCATTTTCCATGATACTCATTTTGTTTTCATTATTTCAGGGTTCTGAACTCCATATACAGTTTAAGTAAACCTAAGTATTTTAAGTCATTCGCATTGTTTATTATAAAGAAAATAGCAAGACCCACACATAAACAGAACTGAAAGCAGCCACCAGAAAATACTGACCACAGAAAAGCTACTGAGCACAAGACAGGAAGGAAAAAGCAGACATATAGGAAACTGATAAATGCAAAGGCACATACATTCTGGTACTAAAAGCAGTACTAAAAAGCAAGCAACATTTCAGTATATGAGGGAGAACCAATCGTGAAACTTATTTGGGCACAATACAGAACCAAGTCAGATGCTTGCAGGATTAGAAAAAAGATAAGTTTTACTGAATATATGAATTTCCCTTACTAAAAAAAAAAAAAAAAAAAAAAAAAAAAAAAAAAAAAAAGGTTCCCCTTGTTCCCCCTAGGTTTGGGGAAGGATGAGCACCATGTGCTACGCACAATTTTAATTATTTCAGACACTCAAATCTGGCTGCTGAATTTTTGGCACGTATAATGCTATGCAAATAACCAATGCTTAAATTAACATTAAGGCTCTTCAAGAGTAAGATCAGGCATCCTTTATAACGATAACTTCAAAATGGGAAGAAATAAAGACTGCATTCCCCATTCCATAGCATTACACTACAGAGAGACAATCACGTATTAGCCTACTGATCCTTCTTTATGACTTGACCTAAAAAACCCTTAATAGGTCATGGGATAAGACAATCTCAAGTCTGTGCTTATGGCAGTGGTCACCAGTTTTCCCATATTATAAATGAAAACTGATTCTTCTTCAAAAACAGAATTTCATCTCCATGAGATGAGAAAAAAAATTCGTAAACTACGATTGCATTTTCACAACCTCTTTAAGGCAGTAGAGCTGAATGTAATCACAGCTCTCTCAACAATTTAGAGCAAATTGGCAAGGATATAGAAATTGGCATGCTCACTTTCACTAATCCAGAACAGCATCTGAGTTTTGAAAGGCATTTTATTTTATGAAATCCAAACACATCCTTCCCTGTAATTCATTATAACTAATTTCTGGATTCAGCAAGCTGCGAGCATACAGCATGAGCTTGAAGCCTCCAGAGATCCCTTCCAACTTGAACTACCCTATGATTTTATTACTAAAATCACACGTTATAAATTCAATAGCTACTAATGCAAAAGGCCCATACTGGTTTTAATGACAAAGCTTTCTGCAATCATAAAGCAGAGAAAGTAGATCTCAAGAACTTAGAGAAAATACTTTTTAGGCAGCTCCTCCCACAACCTCTAGTGACAACTGCACAGACAAAACACATGAAGGTCAGAGTTCAGACAGAAAAACTTGGCTTTTCCTTACCAAAATGTAAGAACCTGAGTACCTAAGCTTGTTTTGTGGTGATAACATTCACAGGTAACTGGACACTGAGGAGTTACATTACAATAAACCACCTGTGATTCAATAAGCAGCTGGCAACAAGTACAGATTCTAGAATTTTAAAAATAAAGCAATACTACTAGTTTAAGCACTACTGAGATTTTCATTCTGTGCCTCATACTTACTTGTGTGCCATGCTACAATATCAAAAAATTAAACCATTAAATCATGAATATTTTAACTTACAAATCTTAAAGAAAAGATTAAGCATAAAGATGTTTTAACTATGCTGTCTCACAACTGTGTTGCTGGCTAAGCAGTCTGACACAGAATGGTACATTTCTTATTTATTTTTTTAAACCACTAAAAGTTAATTAATTTAAGTCAAACCCTGGACTCTTCAACTTCCTACTTGCCTTTTTGCCCTTAGAATGACTTAAAGCAAAGGCAGTTAACAGCACAGCACAGATGAAGCTACATCTACCAATGTTTTTTGTCTACTTTGCTATGATGCTGCTGTTTCAGACTAGTCAAGCATATTTTTCATGCAATAAATGATTCTCAGTTTCACCTCCCTCCTAACTACACAGCCACTCTAACAAGGGGAATGCAGGGCAGACCATACTTGGAACAAAAGTAGTTACGCTTTATTTCAGCATATTACTATATGCGACACATGCATAACCACATTCTTGCTTGTTACATACAGACAGCTTTAAAAGGGGACTAACGAGTGAAACTAGAAGGCTACTGTAGAGCTTTGTGAGCAGGACGCTCTTGTTCAGCTACCAGAAAGAAAAGGAAAAAGAAAGAAAAGTTAGTAAAAAAGTTTCAGTTTCAAAGCAACAAAGAAGCAAGAATCAGACTTTTTTTTTTTTTTATACATACAAACACTGAAGCATAGCAGCCCATCACTTCACTATGGCACTGTCATGCATCCGTATTCTACGCCAATGGCTCTTATACTGCTCTTTACTCCTTCTTTCAAACTAGGTGGTGTAGGAAAGAAGTGGGGTTGGGTTTTGCATGTTTTTGTAGGTTTAGCCTTAAAAATAATAATAATAATAATAATGCATACTAGAGCTTTCCCAAAGGGTTAGAGCCATCCCACACAAACCTGAAAGTTTCATTTCTCAGGGTGCATGAAAGAAAGAACATTTTGTTGCGAAGTGTCCCCACCACTGAACTAGAATAAAAAATCATGAGCAGTGCTCTGTTCAGCACCCTTCTTCACACTGTAACGCTATTTTCATTGTACATCATGATATAAAAAATACCTCCCTGAAGAACGATGTTCTACCTCCAGTGGGTTTGTGTTTCACTTATGTCTGTAGCCTTTAAGGAAATTACTTGGAAGCAGTGTTACCTTCATTTTCATATTAAGTGAACTGTGCAAGTCAAATTTCTACCATCACAGAACTTCAGAGTGCTCAAGTCAATTTGTGTGTTATTACCATGACGTGCTCAGTTTCACTGCAGCGGTTTGAAGAGAAATAATTCTCTGGAAATGAGAAACTTTACCAAAATCCTCAAGCGCTGCACGCTGTAACTGCTGGGTCACAGAGTTGAAGGGCACAGCGCAAAGCGCCCACCTGAGCACAGGCAGTACATGAGCCGCTGCTTCTCACGACTGTACGCATGTAGTGAAGATGCAAGCAAGGCTAGGTGAAGTATATTCTAGAAGCACAAAGCAACCAATCCTCACACAGATGATTCATCATAAATATGAATGATTGCTCACCTAGCTCAACACCAGGCGAGGCTTCGGGGCTGAGAGGCAAGCAAGGCCGTTAGCGAGGCTGATACCTACCGAGATACCGCTGACACGGAAGAAAAACGCAGTGACCCAAGGCTTTTATTGACATTTATTACACGCGAACACGCGGGGCGCGCCCGCCTACGGCTCCCGAGGAGCGCCTCAGCCCGCGGCGCTGTTACCTCAGCTGCCGCCCCTCGTCGCCCTCCTTCCCCGCGGGTGCTGGGAGGCGCAACCCGCCGGCTCTGAAGGCACGGCGAGGGCAAACCATCCCCTGCCTTCCTTCGCCGGGCTCGCGCGGGCAAGCGGGGCGGAGGCAATCAAGTTGCAGAGTGCGGGGAGCGAAAGGAGGAAGAGGAAAACGAGAGCCGGGGAAGGGGGCAGGGGATGCTGCCGGCCGCCACGCCCCGCCGCCGAGCAGCCGAGCGAATGGGGCTCGGCGCAGGGGGCTGCCTGCGGAGAGGAGGGGGAGGGGACGGCGGCGCGGCGGCTCTCCCCCGCACAATGGCCGCCCGCCCCCCTTCCTTTCCTTCTCTTTCCCTACCCTCCCCAGCCTCAGAACACCACATCCCCAGCCCGCCCGCCCGCCCTCCCGCGCGGCCCCAGCCTGCCGTACCTGCAGCGTCACCTCCTCGGGTCTCCAATGGGGCCGCAGGCGGCGCAGCAGCTGCAGGGCGCCCTGGCGGCAGCCGGGCCCCTCCCGCTCGCTGACGGTGATGTCCAGCTTAGGCACCTCCGGGGAGCCGGGCGGGACGTGGATGTAGTTAGACATGGCGGCGGGCGAGAACGACAAGGACGCGCAGCTAGCTCTGATGTCTCCTCCGCGGTGGAGCCGGCAACTGAGGGGGAAATTTCCACTTGGGCTCTCGATAAAGCGGCTCCACCTCCCCCGGCTGCGGCGCGGAGCAGCTTGGGAGAGCGAGCGGGCGGGGCCTCCGGCGCCCTCCCCTCCGCCGCTCCTTACCTGCCTGCCTGCGGCCGACCGCCCGCTCTGCTCCCCCCCGGCCCGCGGGGCAGAGCCGATGGGCGGCTCTTGGTGGGAGGGCGGCCCCGGCCGAGCCAGGCGTGAAGGAATGCGGCCGAGGCGCGGGACATCCCGCAGCCGGTCAAGCAGCTGATCGCAATCGGGCTCCGAATTACCCACCGCGGTTAATTTGTAGCCTGTAATTTCTGTGCTGGCCTTCGTAAGGCTTCCCCCCCCACACACACACCCCGTTCGTTTGTCCCTGCGGGTGTTTACCTGCTCACCACCTTGTTCCACTTACTGCGGTTTCAGCCGGTTGTTCGCGGTGTCGTTTGTATCCCCGTGGGCGCTGAGAAAGTACCGCGCTATGCGTCTGCCCTGTTCAAACGTCTCCATGCGGATCGCCCTTCCCACAAGCGGTACACAACGCCCGTGGTCTTTTCCTTCTTTTATCGTGGAAACAATGCCGCTCTCAAGCTTTTAGGAGGCAGTTTGAGATCTGGACTTCAGACAAAATAAAAGCCCAGGCTATTCCTAAATACAGCATGTTACCAATAAAATAAAATCCCAGTGATTCTATTTTAATAAATAAATGCTTCTGTATTACCCGTAACTTACCCATAATATTCACACAAGTACCTGCACCTGTCATCATGTTCCAAGATCTTTCTATGTAGGCAGCACTGGAAACTCAAGAAGTTCCTCAATAATAAAGCAAGTTTATTCACACAGCCTAAGATGAACAACAGAAATACGGAATCATAAGGGTTGGAAGGATCCTCTATAGAAGATCATGGAGACCAACCCCCTGCTAAAGCAGGCTTCCTACGGCAGGCCATACATGAAAGTGTCCACATGCATCTTGAGTATCTCCAGAGGAGACTCCACAACCTCTCTGGACACATGTTCCTGTGCTGTCACCCTCACGATAAAGAATTTCTTCTTTGTGTCTCTATGGAACTTCCTGTGTTACAGTTAGTGCCCATTGCCCCCTGTTCTATCACTGCACCCCACCACTGCCTGGCCCCATTCATTTGACTCCCACAATTTAGATATTTATAAGCAGTGATGAGATCCCTCTCAGCCTCCAGGCTGAACAGTCTCAGGAGTCTCAGCCTTATCTCAGAAGGGAGATGCTTCAAGCCCTTAATCATCTTTGTGGCCCTCCTCTGGACCTAGAAGATCTCTGTTGTGTTTTTTTTTTCCAACAAAGGAGTAAAGAACATGGATGCAATACTCCAGATGTGGCCTCACCAGGGCAGAGTAGAGGACAAGGACCACCTCCATTGCTGGCCACATTTGTTTTAATGCACCTCAGTATATCGCCGGCCTTCTTGGCCACAGGGACATGCCATTGATTCATGACCAACTTGTTGCTGACCAGAACATTCAGGTTCTCTTCTGCAGAGCTCCTTTCCAGCAGGTCGGCCTCTAACCTGTACTGATCCGTGTGGTGAATAATGGCCAGTTTGTGAGGGAAATGGCTAGTTTCAGTTTCGGTTCTCATTAATTTAATACACATTCCTCTCCAGAACTGCAGTGCATCAGTAACACTGTCACATCTACTTGGAGACGCCCTGTTTTTACCAAGAACTTCTGTCTTGTCAGTGAAGGGTTTTGCATAATCTAAGTAGAGAGCTTACCATCACTTCTATTCCCATTATTGCTACCAAACATGTCACTTTATCCTACGGTTCTTCATTCACTCACCTGTTTGAAGCTCCACTCAAGCAGAATTCAACATTTGAAATAGTCAATAAACTAAAAATAATTCCTTTCTTAAATATTTTTTTTTCTTACTCCTTGTTATCATTAATCTTAGTGTTCTCTTCTACTTGGACATTCATTCAGACCTTCCTGTAATGTTTAAAATCTCTAGAGACAGGAATCTGTTTTTGCAGGAGTTCAGGAAGCAAAATTTCTTTCTGTTTGATTTCAGATGAAAATATGTTTATGAATTGATGTTACTAGTGTAAATGTTATTCTGCATTAATAGCCTTTTTTCTATCAAGAAATAAGAGGGTAAGACATGGGGGTCTATATCAAATTTCTGGAGTCAATAGTGTCATAAAATGTAAAGATCTAAATGTTACAGCTTCAGTATATTTCTAGAGATAATATGTTTTTGGTTTGCCTTTATTTAAATCTGTTCCCTAAAAAAAGCTATTCCATGTACTGTTATACTCTTTCCTGTGATTTTGCATCTATCTTTTTACCATTTTTTTACCCATTTTTTTCTATTAGTCCCCTGCACTTTTATTCTTTGAACACCAAAAGTTTAAACTCTTTTTATTATTAAAAAATACATATTTCTTTAAACACATTTACAGATTTCATCATTTATACATTATTTAGTCATATAAATTAGCACTAGTACTGATAACTAGCATAGTAGTATTGTATCACTCTGCTGGATCAGATGTGATATACAGTGTGCTCTGTTTCTGCTCATGCAGTAAAGTAGATGATAAACTAAGACTTGCTTGCGGAATAAGGGCAAAGTGACATTTTTGTTAAAATAAAATGTCGAAAGTTGAATGCTCCATCTTCCGCATGACCTGGTCTAAACAGAGATTCAATCACACTAATGCAGAACATAATACTTACTCCTGCCAGAAGCCATATTACTTTCAGTTGTTGACTCCAAGAAGCTTTGCTAATTTGCCAGAATCTGACTAAATCTCCAGAAATTGGCTGTGAATGTATTTTAAACATAAGGGGAGAAGCTGAAGCCGTCATGGTGTTTAGACTGTTTGAGAATTAAGGAAGCAGAACTTGAAGTTTGTGATATAAAAGTATGTCCCTTTTGCTTGTCCTCGAAGTGCATGGAGGTATTTTTCATTCCTTTTTTAAAACAGTTCCGGGTAACTTAGAGCCAGGTACTAGCCCTGTTTCCTTGCCTCATCTTTATCTTTTTATCTTTTTTCCTGCAAATTCTTTCTGTGTCCAAATTAAATGTCATGAAATATTTTCTAAAGACTGGGAATCTTACTCAAAGTTTTCAGTAACGGTATATTTTTTCTTTTAGAAAAAAAATGTTTTTACTTTTCTTTATTCCTCCTGACACCTATACCCTACAAACTGCAATTCATTATTAAGAACTCCATTAGGATCCTTAGAGTCTACAAAGCTTTCAGGTCAGTTGCAGACTTGTTCTTAGAAAGACCTGATATTACATGAAGTAAAGACTTTGAAGTTAATTGAATAACGTGTTTTCCCTTAATATCTGTTTTTTTTTTTTTTTTTTAGACACATCATATTAAATTAAAGCCATCATAAGGCTGACCTTATCGATGCATACAACATGGAATTGAAAAAAACAGGATGTATTAATTCTCTCCCAAGCTGGTCTTCACCAGCCAGACTGGGCACTGGCTACCTACAGCCTGTTTAAGCTGCTTATCCTTATTTTTCTGCCATCTTCTACTAATCAAAGACCAGGTTGTGCCATTTCATTTATTTCTACACTTTTCACCTTGCATTTAGGTCAGCACTGCGTACGCTATAAGCTCTTTAGGTGTTTTAAAGAGAAATAACAAGCTTGGAACCAGTTTTAACTTCCCAGATGCAGTTCTCCTGGCTGCTTTTCAAACCCAGTAATTCAATAATTGCTTCAGGAGAACTCAGTGCATAAACATGACTATCGGTCAAAAATGTACCATTTCTAGGCATAGTTAATTTTGATAATAGTTTGCTTATTGAAGAGTTTCCAAACACTGTTCTTACACTGTCCTTATCTTACAGATGGAAAAACTGAGTCATAAGAAGGTTAAACTTTCCATTAGATCAGTCACTCAGTGGGCCTGGAAATAATTTTTGAGTTCCAGTCCAGTCCTTTGATCATATCATTTCTTCAATGCTTTAAAGAATGTAATCTCTGGTGGTTATCCAGCATGTATTATTTGTGTCAAGATGAAGTGCATCTCTGCACACACGGTGTTAAAGTGTAAGTCCACTCATATTTATTTATTTATTATATTGATTTTTAAAGTGCCTACTGTCCTAGCAGCTGTATTGATTTACCAGCATCAACTCTCAACACACAAAGTTGATAGTTCTATCATATGCTTATTGTATTCTGTAAACATTTCATTTTAATCTTGGTGAACACTAGCTTGAATTATATCATTTTATAAAAATCTTGACAGTTTATAAATTTCTCTAAGATAGTTACAGCTCAATATGTTATTTATATAGTAAAAAAACTCTTCTCTTGTGTAAGTTGCTTGGCAGAGTAATGAATTATAGCTTTTTCAAGTATATTTTGGAAGAGTATTTTGATAGCGTAAAACTTCCAGTGCTTGTTACAGTTTTATGACTTAATTTTCTAGGAGCCTGCCAATTAGTGACACACACCTTACACATTCTACACGATAACCCAGGTCCTGGCTATCTTAGCCCTGTTGTTTTGTTTTTTTTTTTCCATTACGGGAGTTATGCTGAGCGTAATCTAATCTCTGTAACAGATGTTCTTCTGAAATTGTTCAGTGGTTTCCACCTCTTTCAGTTTTTCAGGGTTTCAGCTGGAAACCTTAGCAGTTCCTAGTGGAAGTCTGGGCATCTGTGGAAATAGGCTTTGTTACCTCCAAGGCTGCTTCAGATGAGCGCACAGACATCTTCCTTCTATTCTTCCTTGGCTCTGAGTCTGTGATCTGCAGGCTGAATCACTGTGGATAGTTACCAGTCACACATCCTGTAGGAAACCTGGCCTCAACTAAGCAAAACACTGAAATATGTTGAAGTTGTTCCCAGTTATTTGAAGAGACAAAGCCTGCTTAAATCAGTAGAGCCAAATACTTGCTTAAGTTAAGTCACAATGAGCTGCTCAGCAAGAGGCTCTGTGATTTCTCAGTGCCTGTGGGGGTAAATTATACAAACATTATATTCTGTGGATATAAAGAGAGAAAACCTTCATACTGTACTGAGAAGTATA